ACTAGGATATAGAGGACATCAGAGAGCTCTGCCCAGCTTGCCTCCTGAGTGCCTCCAGGTCACAACTGGATAACTTGGTTCTATTAATTGGCTTACTAATGATGACTGGTTGAGCCTGGTTGATTAGGGTACCCAGGACACAGGTTCTAGTTCTAACTCTAGTAACAGAAGGCCCCCATCAAATATAGCCCTCCTGTCTTAAAGTCTACTGTTCTACAAACATGAGCAATATTGTTTTGCCTTATCATTGAGTCTGTTATAACCTATCAAGGGACCTGGGCAGAGTTCTGTCCTTATTCCACAGATGAGGAAGCCTAGACTCAAGAAATAAGTGTTTTTTTTTTTTTTTTTAAAATATAGTTGGTGTGAATGCTCATCTTACTCATCCTGTCATTCTAATGCTTCATTAAATGAAGCTGAAGTCAACTAAGGCGGGCATGGTGACACAGGCCTGTAGTCACTGTACTTGAAAAGTGGGGGCAGGACTTTCAGGATTTCAAACCATCTAAGGTGATTAATGGTCAATGAGTTAAGGCAGGAAGACCACAGAACCAAAGATTTGCTTGAGCCAGTGTCCACAGTCTTCACTGTTGTTCCAGAACTTTGGGGTCATGATACCAGAAAGTGTTAGCTGAAGTATTTATTACCCCAAATTTTCAATTCTTGATGTTACCTGTTGAAAGTCACCGAGGTCACTTCTTGGCCAGAATCTTGTTGCAGAATCTTGGCCAGGAGTGGAATTCTCAAGCTGGGAGACTTAGCCTCAGGCAGGGATAACCTCCTAATTGCATATTCACTGCAACATGTTCAGCCATAAAACCATATACACACAACCAACAGAAATGGACTCAGCAGGTTTTATTCAGATATTTATGCATACCTAATCACACATGCTAAACAAGGAAGAAATCAGAAGAATTTGGGAGGGGATGGAGAAAGGACAAGGAAGGGGATAAGTGATGTAATATATAAATATGTATTTATGTATGTGTTTGTGTATACGTATTAGTGTTATTTTGTTTGTAGTTTAACAAATAAAGCTTGCCTGAAGATCAGAGCGTAGAGCTAAGTACTAGAGGTCAGGCTGTGGTGGCACACATCTTTAATCCCAGGACTACTGAGACAGAGGTAAAGGGATATCTGTTAATTCAAGGCCACTCTGGGCTACCTAAGACTGAATCTGTCTAAAACAGAACCAGAACTCACACAAAGGTTATCCAAGCACTTAGGATCTGATGCCTTTTAGTCCAGCACTAGGGAGGTGGAGATAAAAGTTATATGGTTGGGCAGAGAGAGGAATATAAGATGGGAGAATACAAATCAGTTCAGTCTAGGCAGTAAGTCTGAGTCTTGAAGAGGCAGGATCACCCTTTCAGTCAGAGCATTGGTAGAGGTGAGAACTCTCTATTGGCTGACCACTCTGCTTCACTGATCTGTCAGCTTCCACCCCCTATCTGACTCTGAATTTTTACTATTAAGACCAACTAAACTTCATGCTATATCTAGAGCCCACTTTGAATTCACCAAAAAGCCATTTGCCTGTGGCTTTGCAGCTACAGGCAGAAGTCAGAGCTACAATATGCCAGAGTGTAGCTGACGAAGTTTTCCTTTCTTGTCTCATGGTGGAGTTTCGCTGATCTCCCTTCTCAGGCTGCTGCCTTGAAATCTGGTGATCTATTTACTGTTTTATGTAGTGGCAGTCAGCCTTACATCTTCATTGTCATCATTGGCAGATCTGGTAAGACAATTGGGAATTCTTTTTAAGTTTGAAGACTGTCCTGGAAGAAGCTCTTGTAGACTAGGCTGGCCTCTCAAACTCAAGAGATCCACACGCTTCTGCCTTCTGAGTGTTCGGATTAAAGGCATGTCTCATCACCACCCAGCTCAATTGGGAATTCTTAAAGCAAGCAATTAGTTAACGGAGAAATTTTATCCATGTTAAAAAATGGGACACACAATTATGAAGTTGGGTTTCTGTATGTGATGTGGGATTTCCCTCTGTATGCTTGAATACCATCAATGAATAAAGAAACTGCCTTGGCCTCTTGATACAGCAGAACTTAGGTCGGAGGGGAAAACTAAATGGCATGCTGGGAGAAAGGAGGCAGAGTCAGAGGGATGCCATGGATCTGCTGTTGGAGATAAATGTGCTGGAACTTGGCTGGTAGGCCACGACCTTGTGGTGATGCACAGATTAATGGAGATGGGTTAAATTAAGATGTAAAAGTTAGAATGAGAAGTTAGAACTAATGGGCCAAGCAGCGATTTAATTAATAATTTCTGTGTGGTTATTTTGGTTCTGGGCAGCTGGGACAAACAAGTGGCCTTCCTCCTACAAATATGAGATATAAATATGGCCAATTAAATGAAGAATCAATCAACTTACCCCAAATTGATATACTGCTAATTATCATTTTAATAAGCCTTGATGCTGCTTTGATAATTCTTAGTTTATCTCTTAAAAAGTTGCTTGGTATAAATGCCAAGATACAGGCCTTAGAAAAACTTAATAAAATCATATAAAGATCACAGAGGTATTCAAATCCAGACAGAGGAATTTAACACAGAACCATTTTCAGCATTGCATTATGAGGTCTGAGAGGAACAGACTAATGTTTTCAAATAATCAACCTTAATAAATCCAGTAACATTACAGGAATTGCCAAATGATAGAGGCTGTGTAAGAGCTTGTTGGACTTCTGTGGCAATGTTAGATTTAAAGAGATTCAAGGAAGTAATAATCTCATATGACATGCATTCACCTTTTGTGAAGCAGATGTTAAACTTGTGGGCAACTTGGAATAGAATTATCCCTCAAGTTTGGAGAGACTTGTTTGCAGCAGTCTTGGAATCTGGTCCACAATTACAATGGAGGACCTGGTTGAAAGTAGAGGCTAAGACCATTGAACAAGAGAACTAGAGCAAGGGAAATTTCCCTATATCAAATTAATGGGAGTAGGGGATTATACTACTACTACTACTATCATAGAAATGCAATACCTATATTATGGCCATATTCTGGCTTTATTCTATGCAATAACTTTGAATGCTTGGGACAGAATTAAATAAGTAGGAAAGAAAATTCAGCCATTAACTAATGTCATACAAGGCCCAAAAGAAACCTTCTATGATTTCTTAAAAGATTGATATTAGTTGTAAATAGAATACCAAATTTAGAAGCTGAACAAATAACAATTGAATCTCTGGCCTTTGAAAAGGCTAATTTCAATGCAAAAGGAGACATTACAATTGAATCTCTGGCCTTTGAAAATGCTAATTTCAATGCAAAAGGATAACTAGGACTTTAAAGGCAAGATCAGCACCCTTGTAGTAAAAATCTTAGACATTTGTGCAAGTTCTTCATGTAACTTGCTTGTGCCTCCAAACATGATCAACCAAATCACAAATGTGTCACTTTCATTTGATAATAGATTTCTGCTATGAAGGCCCTAATCTATGACTTGCTTGGTCAGATAACACCCTGCTCACGATGAGTAGTTCAGTTTGCCTGGTAAGACTGGCAAAAAAGGGCCATTGTCAAATTTTCATTTTCCAATAAGGTCAAATAGTATGCCAAGATGTGTCTCTGAAAGAAAGGTATCTGCAGAATGGTGGAGAGTTTTGTTCCAATGCCACCAAGTTCTCTTCCTTGATACAACTACAAGGGACCACAAAAGGCTCCTAGCTGCCATTCTCATTTCGAGTACCATTAGGTCTGCTGAATCATATGATCTAAGTGATGGCGAAAACTACACAGCAGCATGGACCCATTGAAGTCCTTCTGCTCTTCCAGGAACCAAAGTTAGTAGAATTCCAAAATTCCAAATTGTAGGTGGAAGTTTCTGCCCCACTCAGTTCCGTAACAGTTCAGCTCCAAAGAAACACACAGAGGCTGATATTAGTTATAAACTGTTTGGCCTATTAGCTCAGGCTTACCACTAACTAGCTCTTACAACTTAAATTGACCCATAATTCTTGTCTATGTTTAGCCATGTGCCTTGTTGCCTTTTATTAGTAAGGAATTCTCATCTTGCTTTCTCTGTATTTGGCTGGTGAGTGACTTTCTGCTTTCCTTTCCCCAGAATTCTCTTAGTCTGGATACCCCATCTATAGTTCCTGCCTTGTTGCTGGCCAATCAACATTTTATTAAACTAATAGAAGTGAAATTCTTTTCAGTGTGCAAGGGCATTATCCCTTTTTTCTTTTCAAAACAAGAACTCTGAATCTAATCTTCTTTGTTTAGCTTTTTCATGTTATCCATAACAACTTGTAACCAAAACCCTAAATAATGACAGACATATAGAATCTACTTTGGGGAATGTATTCTAAGTTACTTCCAGCTAATTGGGGGCACTGATAATCTTATGAGAACCCAAAGAAAATTTAAGATTGTGGTCATCCTGACTGGGGTATTCTGTGAGGCTAGCCAACAGGTTTGAGGCTGTTTTGGATATAGAACTCAGAGGAAACTGCAACAGAGGTACTCTAAAATGTTGGAACATCTGGACAATCCCTTTCCACTGGAGAATTTTCAGGGGTCTCCCTTGATCAAACCTTATTTCCTGTGGAAACAAAAGCAAAACTTTTTCTCCAAAGTAATATATATTTGACTTAAAATTTGAAGTTAAGGCATTTTCAAAATATATAGGTTGGATTAATCTAGCAGCATTTACAATCAACTGTCTTTTAGCAGTTGTTGCTTCTTCCTTTGCAGTCAAACAACTCAAAGACAACACAGTAACATACAATATCCAGATTCTCTGTGTATTTTCCATCTTTACATGACTTTATTCTTTTTTTTTAATATTTTTTTTTCTTTTGAGACAGGATTTCTCTGTGTATCTTTGGCTGTCCTGGAACTTACTCTGTAGATCAGGCTGGACTCTAACTCACAGAGATCTGCCTCTGTCTCCCAAGTGCTGTGATTAAAGATGTGTACCACCATGCCCCACTATTCTATCTTTTTTTAGGACTTTATCTTTTTTCTTTTCTTGCTCAAACCTACATATATTTTTAAACACATTATAAACCATTTAGAATTTTTTATCTGAATCTGTCTTTACTGTATCTTTATATTTTTCTGACCACATGAATCTTGATTCTGCTACGCCATACGGCTAGGATCAAAACTCCAGCTTTGTTGGCTGGCCCCACACCATTTCTTAGCTTCATAGTGGAGGTACTGGTGGGAGGCACATTACTGTCACAACTTTGTGGAGTTTGTAGGTCCATGCTACAGCCAGGAAGCCTGATGCCAGCTATTCATAAACATCATTTAATTGTTTGGTGACACTGCTTCTTAAAAGAGCCTCAAGGTTTTTTGCCACTAACACTGAGTTAGGAAGCGTTTCTTAAAGGGGCTGCAGGAGACTACAGGAGATAATAGTTACCAAGAAACTGCACTTGACTCTATTCTTATCTGTCTAGAATTATTTTTTTAAAGCTTTCTTAGTGGATTCTTATGTAGGAATTCTTGCCAAACCTTTGGGTGCCATTTTTAGATGGAAATTTCTGTCCTGTCCAGTCCTGTAGCCATTCAGTTCTAAAAAATCACACAGAGGCTTATATTAATTATAAACTCATTGGCCTGTTAGTTTAGGTTATTACTAACAAACTCTTACACCTTAAATTAATCCATAATTCTTGTCTATGTTTAGCCATGTGGCTTGGTACCTTTTGTCAGTGAGGAATTCTCATTTGCTTTCTCTTTATCTGACTGGTGACTGACTCTCTGTTTTCTTTTTCATAGAATTCTCTTAGTTTAGTCGGCCTGCCTATCCTTTCTGCCTGGCTACTGGTCAATCAGTGTTATGTTAAAATAATACAAGTGACAAATCTTTTCAGTGCACAAGAGCATTACCCCACAGCATCCAATCACTTGGTATATGGGCAAAACTAACACACCCAAGAGAGGACTGTGCTATCTTAAGAATCTAAACAGGCCCAGTAAACATTGGCTTCTTTCTTGATGGTAGAAGGACCAGGTGCAATAACTTCTCTGTCACCTTAGAAGAAATACTTCTGAATTACACACAACCCTAATATTTCAATGAATTTCAATGAGGTAGAAGTTCCTTGAAGTTTGGCTGGATTTTGTCCCATCCTCTGATGTGCATATGTGCTATCAATGAGATCAAAATGGTTGCTTCCTCCTGCTCACGTAGTCCAAACAAAATAATGCCATCAAAATAGTTCACCAATGTGATATATTTTTGAAGACAAAGGTGATCAAGATCCCTTCAATTTAGTTTATGACACAGGGAGGGTGAGGCAATATATTATTGATGTAAAACTGTGAAGAGAGTCCAATGCCATCCTTCCTTCTATAATTTTAACTGGATTGGTTAGTGCATAATTAGAAATTGAAACATTTAGCTTTTGCTGAAATATTAATCAATACACAGACTTGTTCTCAGGATGTGTTTTCATGTTACTTACAATAGAACAGTTAGGAGTGGGCTTACTTCACATTACTTATTATTGGCCACTTTTGTTAGTCAATTAAACCATGCTTTTTATGCCTTAATGGAAAAATATGGTTTTTGTCCCTTATGGATTGTTTTTGTTCCTCATACCATCAAGAAAGAAGAACAATGTTTAGAATGTGATGATGATAGTTCTACGTAAAGTGTTTAACACACTGATTACATCCATAGAGTTTCTCTCCTCTGTGACTTCTTTCAAGCATGTGAAGACTACTCTTCTCCACAAAGGCTTTGTCACATTGATTACTTTAACAGGGTTTCTCTCCAGCATGAATTCTTCCATGACGAAGAAGATACTGCTTCCTTGTAAAGGCTGTACCACACTGATTACATCGATATGGTTTCTCTCCAGTATGAATTCTTTCATGATTCTGAAGCATGCACTTCTGTGTAAAGGCTTTACCACAATGATTACATTCATATGGCTTTTCTCCACTATGAATTCTTTCATGCCTGCGGAGATTAGACTTCACTGTAAAGGCTTTATCACACTGATTACATCCATAGGGTTTCTCTCCACTATGAATTTTTATATGGCTGTGAAGATAACTCATCTGTACAAAGGTTTTACCACATTGACTGCATTCATAGGGTTTCTGTCCAGTATGAATTATTTCATGACGCTGAAGACCTCTCTTCTCTAAAAAGGCTTTACCACACTGATTACATTCATAGGGTTTTTCTCCAGTATGAATTCTTTCATGTCTGTGAAGACGTCTCTTCTCTACAAAGGCTTTACCACATTGATTACATTCATAGGCTTTCTCTCCAGTATGATGATTTCTTTCATGACAGAGAAGATAACTCCTCCTTGCAAATGCATTACCACATTGTTTACATTCATATGGTTTCTCTCCAGTATGAATTCTTTCATGCCAGAGAAGAAAAAGCTTCCTTGCAAAGGCTTTACCACATTGATCACATTCATAAGGTTTCTCACCAGTATGAATTCTTTCATGTCTGAGAAGGGTATACTTCTCTGCAAAGGTGTTACCACATTGATTACATTCATAGGATTTCTCTCCAGTATGACTTCTATGGTGAGAGACAAGATTCTTTTTCAGTGCATAGGCTTTACCACACTGATTACATTCATAGGGTTTCTCTCCTGTATGACTCCTCTTATGACAGAGAAGATTTTTATTTAGTGTATAGGTTTTGCCACATTGATTACATTCATAGGGTTTCTCTCCAGTATGAGTTCTTTCATGAGCACGAAGATAACTTTTGCATACAAAGGCTTTACCACATTGATTACATTCATAGGCTTTCTCGTCTGTATGATTTCTTATGTGAGCGAGAAGAGTCTTCTTCAGTGTATAGGCTTTGCCACACTGATTACAAACATAGAGTTTCTCTCCAGTATGACACCTTTTATCTATTTGAAGGTAAGTGGGACATTCAAAGGCTTTTTCACACTGATGGTATTCATACCTTTTCTCTCCAGTTTGAGTACTATGCACTTGTTGAAGACTGTGACATGGAAAGGTTTTATAAATTTGATTATATTCATAGTATTTTCCTTCCAAATGACTTCTCTGGTGGACTTTAAAAGAGGAATCAGATGTAAAGGCTTCATCATACGGATTACATTCAAAGAGATCCTCTTTATTATTGGTTGTTTCGTGTGCTTGAAGATACCTTCCATGACTTCTAGAAATTTGACCATGTTCTTCAATATTATGGTCTTCCCATTTATAGCCTAAAATATAGTACCAGAAAATGTATGTGACATATTACTAGAAATCAGGCACAGTTGAAATTACTATATTTCATGAATCTAAGAAACATGCCTGATTTATTCATGGGATTCTTCCTCTTTCATATTTGAAATCACAGAACAGCACCTAATCTCCAAGAAAGACTTGTACTCTTAAGTTAAAAATTGACAAAAAGTTCACATTCTTACCTATAGCGGTGAGGTTCCAGTAGGTTTCTAGCATCACATCTTTGTAGAGATTCCTCTGGGAAGGATCCAGCAAAGCCCACTCTACATGAGTAAAATTCACATACACATCCTCATAGGTCACTGCATCCTAAAGTATCCCATATGTGATATAATAAATGAATGTTGACACTGAAGACATTCTAAATGTATACTTCAATGAAGACATATTTACATAATTCAATATGTTCATTATATTTTGTGACATGGGCCCTTAAATACCAACTCAATTTAAAGAAAAGGGATAAGCAGGAAGATGCCTTCCATATGTGCCCACTGAAGAGAATATAGCATTACAGGAGAAATGCCTTATAATATACACAGAGAGACATGTAAACAGAGTGATGACAATATTTAGTGTCCATCTGTAAAATCTTTCAGAATAATTAACTTCAAAAAAGAATAGACAATCTGGCCCTGGTGGTGCACTCTCTAATACCAAATCTCAGGAAGCAGAAACAGCTGAAACTCTGATTCCAAAACCAGTCTGGTCTATATGGAGATTTCCAGGACATTCAAGGGTACAGAGAGCCCATCTCTAACATAAAATCAGAAAACACTCAGTGGCTCACTCAAAATTTCTCCATACACTTAAACATTCACTATAAATCTGTACTTTTCTATCATAACCTAGAGTGATCTCTTTTAAACTGTAATACTAATAATTCCTAGGAAGGAAAACATTTCTACAAAGTTAGTTAGAGATCGATGAAAGAGATCTCAAAAGCACTGACAAAGTAAATGTGAGTCTACAGCAGTAAAACAACAAAAAGTAATGAAGTATATAAATATGTATCAGCAGGTAAAATCACCTGTTGGTTTGAAGTGGTCTTAGCTCAGCTCCCAGCATTCACTGGAAGCTCTATTCCTAACTCCAGGTCAAGAGAAACCAATGCTTGTATCTGACTTCAGTGAATACCAGGAAGATCAGCGAAACACATCCATGTATGTATATAGTCAAAAGAGTCAGACATTTGAAAACAACTTAAAAATGTAAAAACATATACAAAGTTAGGGATAATGTTAGACACCTGGAATTCAGTGAAAAAAGATCACTATTAGATGCAAGATTGCATTCATACTATATCTGATAAATGACACCCCCTGCCAAAGTTCAAAAGTCGTGATTTGAGTATAATTTAGCACAACAGCAAGAGTGTAACATACAAAAACACATCAGATAAGATGCACCTAAAATATTAATATAAATAGGAAAGAAAAATGGATTAGCAAGGAAAAACAATTGTTTCAATTTTACCTTAAATTATTTAGGAATGGAGTCTCTAGTGGAGGTAATGGTGTGTTGTCTACAAGAGAAGGGGGCTGCTCAGTTTCTACCACACAAAGAAGTGTGGTGAAAAACACAGAAATCTTCCCCAGAGACTATGTTCTCCAAAAATGCTTCTATTCCTCAGTCACTAATGAAAGCCTACACCAAAGACAAATGCCCAGATTTTTCATTCAACCCTTGATATTGTGTCACAGGTCATGATATACTGACAGTCAAACCTTGATGCAAAATTTATTTAGCCTAATTTGAAAGATCCCCATGGTCTGTAACATTCCCTACACAGTTGAAACGCCCAAGGTTTCTCTTGACACTCAAGGCAATATCTTGACTGTGACATCTTGCAATATGAAAACATGAATTAAATCTATTCACCAAACAATGCCACAGATTACACATTTCCCTTTTTAAGAACTAAGGAAAGATTGGAGAATGGCAAGGTTGAAACCTGACAGGGCAAATGCCAAATCCTGCAGCTCTGTGTCACACATCTGGGACTTCCATTTCAAAGGGCATAGATGACTATTTTTCCTTGCAACTTCTCATACATCTCTGTCTTTTGACACTTCCTACATGCAGATTCTATAACACGTGTCTCAAAGTTTGCATATCTTACAATGTTATTACCTCAAAATGCAACATAGACTTCATCTCATAACTTCATGGAAGGAAGTCTCACAGTACCAGCACTTGAATTCACAAGCTCTAGACCCAATACTAAGGGTACAGGCTATTATTATCATTAATACAGGGTGTCCTTTAACTCTATGTGACCTCAGATAACTTGTGTAATCAAGATAGCACTGAGCTTGACCTTCCTGCCTTAATTTACAAGTCTTAGGATTAAAGGCTTTATCCACCACTGTGAGCTTTAGGGCTGAAACATTTAAAGAGTTTAGCAGGGCTTCCTTGTTAAGTGACAGACAAAAGGAAATAAAAGATACACGAGAGCTGAACACACTTGACAAAGGAAATAACAGGTACAAAGACTTCAAGGGGAACATGTCTGACAAACCACAGCACTGAAGCACGCTTAAAGCAGTGCCAACACAACACTCAGAAAAACTGTGCATCTGGGAGGAGTTGGTTTTCCAAGGAACTTTACTATCAGGCCTTCAGTTTTGAGAATAAATACTGTATATAAGAACTTGACTAATTTGTTATTTAGATCTCTGGCACTAAGTGATTCAGTGGTTAAAGAGCTGTTTCTGAGGATCCAGGCTGATTGCTTGACACCTGATGGACACTCAAGGATCAGAAACTCCAGGGCCAAAGGATTCAATGCCTTTCAGGATTTTTCAATTGCAGACATGCACATGGTACATGGACATACATGAAGGCAAAACATCCATATACAAACCATGAAATACTAATTCACAAATAATCTGACTGCTGAGTCAGAACATGAATATTTGGAGAACTAGAGATATTGTCGGTGATTAGAATCATAACACCTGAGTGTTTCAGAGGTTAGCAGCACTTGATGCTCCTCCAATGGACCTGGGCTTAATTTCCACTATGCCTGTGGCTGCTCCTGACCACCTGTAACTACAATTCTACTCTTTTTTGATCTCCATGGAACCAGGCATATACATTACACACAGGCATATAAGCAGGAAAGCCATGCAAAAGAGGCAAAATGAGAATTAAATTGCTACTAAAATGAAAATGATTATAGAATCTGAAGATGTAACTCAGTTGGTAGCATACTTGCCTAGCACACATGAATCCTTCGGTCCAATTCATATTACATAAAGGGGACAAGGATATTGTGGTAGCTTAAAAGAAAATGCTCCCCAAATGTAGTGGCACTGTTTGGAGGGGTGACTTTGTTGGAGGAAGTGTCACCCAGTGTATCAGATCACTTCCTGATCCCTTCAAGATATACAACTTTCAGGTACTTCTCCAACACAATGCTTGCTTGCATACCTCTTTGTCCTACCATAATGATAAAGGACTGAACCTTTGAACTGTAAGTCAGTGTGGTGATGTCTTACTTGTATTCTACAAATAAACCTTGACTGAAGATCAGAGCCTCTTGTTAACCATAGAGGTCTGGAGGTATGTACAGACATATATAGTTGGGCAGAGAGAAGAATATAAGACAGAAAGAGACAGGAAGTCAGCTGCTGTTTTGGCTGAGGACTTAGCAAGGTAAGAGATAGCTGTGGCTTGCTCCTTTCTCGCTTTGATCTTTCAATCTTTGCCCCAATATCTGGCTCTGAATCTAAATTACAAAGACCAGTTAGAACTTGAGCAGCAATTGGTGCCCAACTTTACAACATGAATACACAAAAGAAGCTGCCGCCTGTGGCTTTGCACCCACTGGCACATGTGGGGACGCCCGCCAGAGTCACGACCCCACTGGCTACGTTTTCTTTTGTTTTTTTCCCCAAGCTTCTGAATGAGTTTGGGATTTTCCTACAACAGTCTCCAACTGCCAATCAATCTCCAGAAGCACCCAGGCTCCTAATTCACAGAACTTAAACACCCTAGACCAGTTCTACTGCCTTTGGGTAGCTACCACCACGCACACTTCTTCTGCACAATCCTGTGTATATTTTTCCAACAGCCAGTTCTGTCTACCGCATGGGTTGTGGGATTTCTATGAACCACCTTCTTGAGCTGCTGCCCCAATAGGTAGCTGCCTTGACGCTTTCTCAGGCTACATGCTAGCAGCTGCAGCTGTCCTCAGCCAGGCTGTGCACTGTGTTTTCCAATTGGATGGGCTATATAGTGGCAGCCTCACACTCCATCAGCAGATTTGAAAAAAATTGGGAATTCTTAAAAGGCAGAATTAGTTTAAGAGTTATTTTTCCAGCATTAAAAATGGAAACACAATTACACTGGAGAGTTAAGTCTGCATGATTATACAATACATGATTTAAAACTGGAACAATTAAACCAATTAAATAAAGGGATAATCAACTTGCTGGGACTGACATAGTATTTATTATTTTGATAATTCTTGGTCAATTTTTAAGAACATTGGTTGATATTTGTGCCAAGATACATGCCTTAGAAAAACTTATTAAAACAGAGAGATGTTTAAATCCAGACAGAAGCAATAGTCTCATATGGCATGAGTTCACCTTTGTGAGATTCAAGGAAGCAATAGTCTCATATGGCATGAGTTCACCTTTGTGAAGCAGGTGTTAAACTCGTCATCAACTTAAAACAGATTATCCCTAAAGACTGGAGAGACCAGGCCCCCATACCAAATTTGGTTCATTCATTTCCTGTCATCATGGAGGAAACTACTTTACAGATCAATTAAAGAACCTAATACCTTCTGTAAGAAAGCATACTGCGCTGGATGATAGAACAGCTGTAGAACAGAGAACAAAAATTTAAGGAGAAATCATAAAGTGAGTATGCTTGCAAACTTCTATAAATTAACAAAGAACAAAATTTAAAATATGAATAAAAGACCTTGCCATTTAAGGCAGAAAATGTAATACCATTCACTAACAATGAAATTGACAAATTATGAGTAGAAAGTAAACCTTGCAAAGAATGTGTGTAATTTTTTAGGCAAGATTAACAACAAATATCACAAATGCAAGAGAATTCAATGTATAAAGAGAACTAGTTGGATCTTTCCCACATTGTATAGGGCATACCAATATCTAGTGCCCCTACATTCTATACTGATGCAAATAAATCAGAAAAGACAGGTTATAAATCAGATATGTTGCTCAAATCCCTTATGATTCTCTCCAAAAGTCACAATTATATGGTATTCTCATGGTATTAA